CAGTTGCTGGCCAAACGTTAGGAAACAAAACTTCCAGAACACGGCCACACAGCCCGGAAGACCCACACCAGCCTTCTCCCCTGTTGTGCTCCCTCTGCTCCTCACAGACTTGCTTGGATTTCTCTTGATAGTTAAAAAAAAAAGATTTGCCAGGCTAGTTAAGGTGATTAAGCCTTCCCCAAGTTGCATGTCTCCCCAGATGTGTAGACTGCAACTCCCAGAATAGTCACACAGCCATTGCTGAAAATTTTGAGAATTGGTCCACACATCTGGGGTAGATGTGGGGGAGGCTGCAGTATATCCACTCCAAGTCCAGTAGTTCACTCAACCTCAAAGGGTATCAAGGTCAACTGAAAAGAATCTCAAGTCAGCTAAGCCAAAATCCTGAAAAACAAAAAACAGAGAGCCCCCCGCCCCCAAATTTTACTTTTCTGAATGGCATAAAAGTTCCAGATAAGCATTACTTCTAGACGCATGTCTTATATGTTTTAGTGAGTGCTGACTTGTGAGAAATGTGGGGAGACATTCTCTGCATGCAGTTGTGGTCCTTTTGTTCCTGCCTCTTGGTGTGCTGCTACAGCAGCTGTGCCTTTGTGATGCTGAGTGCCTTTTATGGAGTAGTGTTTTTGTTGCTTCCTATTTGAAAAGCTCAATCCGCTGTTGCCAGTGCTTCCTACCACAACTCTTTTTCTGAGTTATCCTTTTCTATTAGACAAGAGAGTAAGACATACATCTTTGTCTAGGCAGCTCCGCCCTATAATCTTGTGCATGTGGAAACACAGAGAAAGGGAAACCTTCACCTTCCCAGCCACTGGAAGAGCATTTGGGATTCACACTGAGACTATAGAGCCCCATTAAATAATCAATTTGAGAATCTCAAATTCAAATTTGTGCTTCTGCCATCGAGCCATCTCCCAAGTGAGAATTATATACTACAAAACAATAAAGAAATTTAAAACAATAAAGCCTTAAGTGGACCAAGCAACAGTGAATGATATTAAAGTAGTTCTTATATTATTTACTGCTAAACATTTTTCCTCTGCTATTGACCCAAACATTTCTCAGAGAGCTTTATGTACACCAGCCAGTGGGGTATGGTGATAAAGATGTTGGAACAGGAGCAGAGAGATTCAGATTTGAGTATCCCCTCAGCTACAGAAGTTGTCTGGAGGACTTTGGGCTGGTCACTCTTTTCTCATAGGGGAAAAATAGGAGGACAGAGCACTTTGTATGCCCCCTTGAGTTCCTCTACAAAAAGTGGGTTAGAAATCAAATAAATAAAATAAAAAAGAGACAATCCCTGACCCACCCATTTAAAATTCTGAAAGACGTAACAAACAGGGATGAAGGCAGAAGAGGGAAAGCATCAGCTCAAGGGTCACTTCTGATGCAGTGGCAGGCTGGGTACAACTAGAAGAGGAATAACCTGGTGGAGCATGTCTTTCAGTTGAATTGATGAATAGCCCTGATGCCATCTCATGTTGCTGTAACTGTTGAGAAGATAAGCTGTTGAGGAATATATGTAAGGGAGCATGTGACATCAAATGCCCCCATGAGTCCTCAGGACCCTCCCTACCCCCCCATCCAGCCCTAATCCACAAAGCTTCAACCTTGTCATTCTGCTCTCTTTTGGTGCCTTCTGATGACAGGTCTAGCACTGAACGCCATGGCAAAGGAGGCAGAAAGCACCGTTCCCACTGCACGTGGACATGCTTGTGAGAAAAGAGGTAATAGGGAGAACCTCAGCATCCCTCCAGCCACATTTTTTGAAATCTGTGTGCATCCCCCGCTGTGCAGGGCGAGATGATCGACCGCATTGAATATAATGTGGAACACTCCGTGGACTATGTGGAGAGGGCCGTGTCAGACACCAAAAAAGCTGTAAAATACCAGAGCAAAGCCCGGCGGGTAAGCACTGGTCTGTGGTCTGTGCAGAAAGAGTGGGAGTTAAGCCATCCTGCCGTGTCCCAGAGATGCAATGGCAGGTGTGGGAAGTTGTGGTGGTGAATTCATTAACACTTGCTCAGAGGACAAGCTTTGGTATCCTTCATATTATTCAACAGCCCTGTTCTTGCCTTGAAACATATTGTTCAACAATTCTGTTCTTGCCTTGGTCTCCCTATCCCTCTCTTGTGGGTTTTCTATTTTATGTAACTGGTTTTCAAAGCTGTGTTGTGGCCTTTTCATAGCAGCCCTTCCCTTCCCGTTTGTTGAGCGATGCTGTGGGTCAACACAATCGATTGCTGTTGGAAGTTGTCCCCCTGGTGTTGCTTTTCAAGCACTACAACTCAGCATTAACCCTTGAAAAATACACATTTTCAACACAGGCAGTTTATTTATTTATTTATTTATTTATTTATTTAATAATAGTGTACGTGTTGTCCCCCCACCACCACCACCAAGGACTCTGGGCAGCTCACAATAAGTCAGAAGAGTTGAAACAGTCAAAATCAACCAAATAAAAACCCATCCTTTAGCCCCTAAAGCACAAGATACTTCCACCTTGTACCAGCCCCAAAGGTCCATTGGAAAAGCATAAACATGGCTGCTTTCCAAAAGGACAACTGGGAAGCAGCCATCCTCACCTTGGGGGCCGCGGCGGACTGCCACCAGGAAGTCCTGCTCCCTGACTTCTTCCCCCTGGACTTTTCTCAGGAGGGACTCCAGCCTGCCCTCTTGGTCTGCATGAATAGATGAACAGATTATATCTCGGTAAGGCAAGCCTGAAGGTAACAAGGGGCTGAACCATAATGATAGATATAGATGATAGCCAGCACCTTGAACTTGACCTAGAAGTCAACTCCCACAGTCCAGCTCCTGCAAGATTGCTGTATTCACTGACCATCTAGCAGGCAGGGAGCTGCATTTTGGACCAGCAATAGCTTCCAAACTGCCTTTGAGGGCAGCCCTTTAACCTTCTAAATCATCTTAAAAGCAATAGGATTCTTTCAATATATTTTAAAGATGTCTTTAATATTTTTTATCATATTCTTCAGCCTAAAGTGGTTCCATGCATTCAGTAAGAATTAAGTCACTGCCTGCAAGCTTACAGTCAAAATTATACGAAAGGAAAAAAGGGGGGGGGGAGGATGGGTGAGGAAGAAGAAAAACACACAGACTCCATTTCTTTAAGCTAAATAAATAAAAAAGATACAATCCCTGACCCACCCACTTAAATTCTGAAAGACATAACAGAAAAGGAAGAGTGATGAAGGCATCTCTTAGGTTAGCTGTCTGAAATCAAATCACTTCAAGGCGGAGAGCAATTTGATGGAATAGCCCTGTTTCTCTTCTTCCTTTGCTGTAGCTTTGAATGCAAGCTCAGGGACACCCCTCAAGTCTGCGTTATTGTTATTGCTTCCTTCTCTTGCAGAAGAAGATTATGATTATCATCTGCTGCGTTATTCTGGGAATTGTCATTGCTTCTACTATTGGTGGGATTTTTGGCTAGAAGCCTGCAACCATCCGAGACTATCATTTATGGGAGTAAGGAGATGAATAGGAGCACCAGAGCCACCTGGCCCACTACCCACTTGGGCCCATCCAAACCTTGTACCCGCCATTGGAGAAACTGGCGGACCAGCACTTCCGTCTCTAATGCATGATTATTTGTGTTAACACTATGTGTTAAGTACAGTGTATGTGTTGGGGGAGGGATGGTGCTGGGGGGAAGGTGGGAAGGCAGTGTGTGCATGACATGCTCAAGGTTTCAGCAGTTTTGGCAGTTCTACCACCTTTTGACCTCTTCTTGATGGTCAGATCTCCTCAAATCGAACCTCCTTTCCCTTCCAGTGAGGTCCTCTTTCTTCTCCCCAAAGAAGAGTTTGCTACGACAGCTATGCAGTTAATCCAGTCCCTGCTCTGGCAGAGACAAGGTCTGGTCATCATCATCCGTTACCAGAACTGTGTCCTTTGCACTGTTGCTTATAGAGGAAGGGGAGCCTCTTTGGCAACAGCTGTCAGCTCAAACCAGGCCAGTCTTCCTCTTTTTCAGCCATGGGCAAGGACCTCTTTGTAGTGTTGCAGGCTTGTTCAGCTAGGGTATTCTGTATTTTTTTTTTATTTCTGCAGCTGCCCAGCCAGGAGCAAGAGGTGGGTATGACCCACCTGGCCCAAATCTGTGTCTTCCACAGTTCTGGTCTGAGCTCAATTTCTGTTCAGTGGAAACCTCACCCCCTTTTTCAGCTTCTGAAGAACCACTGGGCTTCTTTTCTCTTGCCTTCCTGTAAGCAGAATGTATGTATTTATTTAAAATGTCATTCAGCTTTTTTGCTTAAAAAAGCAGGAAGGTGACTTGCAACATGAAATTAGGACAAAACCACTAATAATTGTTTTTTAGACAACCAACTTAACTGGAGGAGTTAACGGTAGCCTTCACCACGCCCAAGTAGGCATTCTGGATGTTAACCAAGGGCTGGTAGATGATAAAAGGGGAATTTACAAATGCATATTTTAGAAATGTGTTCCAGGTGAGTTGCAGCTCCTCCATCACACAAAACAACAGACCCAAGTTCAAAATATCATGAGAAGCAGCCTTAGATGGACGGCCCTTAATAAAATGTCTGTGGCACTAATGTGCCCATGGCATTTCCTTGGTCCCTACCAGATTCTCTGCCCTGATTTAAAAATAATAATAATTGGAAAGCTGGCACACTGCCAAAGAGCAAGCCTCTGGCTTCAGTGTTTTATTTCAAAGTTGGCTTTTTGGCCCTTATAGGTACTGTTAGAAAATAACATTATGATGGCTGCAAAAAAGGAGAAAGTTAAGCAGGCTGGCAGTAAGCTTCTTAACAAGTTAGTAAGAGAGCAAATAGAATACTCACCCAGCTGGTAAATGGGTGTTTTGTGACTGGCACAAGGGCACCCATGGTGTGTTGAAACTCGAGTTATGCCCACTGGAATGAAACAGCTGAGGACCCCTGCCTTCGATGAAGGTTGGAATTGTGTCAACTTTGTGCCTCATTCCAGAAGTTACAACTGACAATGCACACACACTGGGTGCTTGAGCTGTGCCAGGTACTGAAACTTCTTGGCCTTGCATTAGCCTCTTTGTGCTTAAGACCAACTGGGCTAGTCCAGGTCCTGCCACTGTCAAACCTAACTGCCAGCACTGGGTGTGTGACTCTTACCTGTCTGCTGTATTGTCCAAGAGCAAAAGACCCGTTATTAACCAGCTCCACCCCTCCTTTTTCTGTGGGCTGCTCCATTTGAGGATTTCACCAGGTGGCTCTTGGCAGGGAAATGCATAACTGGGGTGCTTTCCCACATTTTCTCTTAGAGGAGCTGCCTGGACCTACAGTACTTCTGATGACAAAAGAGGCTGGGTGGGTCATCTTCCCCCTTTTATATGCCACAGGCTGCCTCCTTTACTTATTCCAGGCTACACGGAAACTGCCAAACCTTCACCCCCACAGCCCTGCTCCCTAGTCTTAACTTAGCTCTTCCAGCTGCTTCACAGCACCAGCAGTATCTTTCATACAGTAATACAGTAACACTCTGGACCAAGAACCTGCTCTCCTATCCTCCCCCAAGGGATGCTTGCTTCTCATCAGCTTTTGCCATAGTCAGAACTGGCTCCTTGGGGAGCAAGGAACCAGTGGAGTCTGCTCAAGGACAGAGAGGGCTTACATAGCCCTCACTGCGGGAATCGTTCAGGATGGTGTAGCACGGCACAGATGGGCTTCAAAACCATTTGTGCAACCTTACAATTCCAGAACTAAAACGGGGTTAGGTAAGGTCCACCCTTAGAAGACTGGTTGCTGAGAGATGGGCTCCTCCTGGCCGACAGGCAGTTGTCTTTTCTTCCATAGTAGCCAGTAAATGTTAAAAATAACCTCTCTCGGTTGAGTAGTCATGATCAAGTTTCAGCTTTGCCCACTCAGTTCTCCTGCCTTCTGGGGCTGTCAAGCTGCTTCCTTTTTTTTTTTTTTCCGTCTTGGTGACCTTAATTAGCTTTTCTAAGTCAGCACAGGGGCAAAAGCCGTGCTGCAGCATTAGGGCAGCTACTGCTCCTCCCTCTATTCACACCTTCCTTTGTTGCATGTCAAAAAATAGAGCTGTTACTAGTATGTCTGTGCTTCAGGAAACTCTCCAGATACTGAGAGAAAATGTGTCAATCATCTTTAATCTTAAAAAAAATCCTCTGAAGTGCCACCGTAGTCTCACCTGTTGCAGTATTCAGCATTCTTGCAGGGGAAGACATTTCACCTATGATGTCATTTTAGAGGCCTCCCCAGGAGTTGTAATGTTGCTGTACAATGTGAATTAAGTGCCCTTGTCTCTTGTGGCCCTCAAATCTCACTTTCCAGCTTGGGGGATCTGGAACTATTCCTTATTGCCTCCTTTCTACATTCCAGCCTCCTTTTTCGCTTAATTTGTCCTCAAACCTCTTTCCCCCACCACCTCCTCCAAACTTCAGGGGGAACACAGCTTCCTTTTATGAATGAACTTTTATGTAGAATAAAGAATATTTATATCAAATACACCGTCTTTTGATTCCTCTGTGAACCGGAACATGGGGAGGGATAAGCTGTACTCACACTTGACTTCTGAGCTGGTTATACAGAACCTAGTTTTGAAAGTATACACCTCTTGAATCATTTATTACAGCACATAAATATTCAGGTTTTCCTACTACTGGGAAAGAGATGAGAGCAGAGCCCCATACCAAGTAACTAATTTACCAAGACACTTTCTGGTTTCTGAGACAACACGCCTTTTTAAAAGGTCAGTAGCTAGGAAACCTTTTAATAGTGTTGTGCTTCTTCATTCATTTGCTTCTACTCAGCATAGAGCTCGAAATAAGATTTTGTCCACCACCACCTTTTTTTAAAGTTAGGAAAGGTAAGGTGCTGCCTTCCAAATATTTCGCTTGATAATTTCCTAAGCCCAGATCTTTGCCTGTGTTGGCAAAACGAAAGGAGTAGTGGTCCAGAATAGTTGCAGGGCACCATGATAATTTTATCATTCCTCCAAAAGCAGGCATGGAAGTCTCAAAATACATCAGGGCCTATTGATGCCCCCCCCGCCCCTGAGCAGCTTAAACCAACTGGCAATGGTGCAGAAGCCATTTCCAAGACCTCATTTAATTGAGAGCTGGGGAAGTAAAATTGACACAACCAAATCTGAAGCCATCAGGAATAGAAGGTGGTTCTGGCAGTCTGGCAGCAGAGAAACATAGTGAATCGACTGGATCCCATATTCTCAGTGAGAAGTCATTTTCAAAGGGGTTAGAACAAAGAAGGGACTGTGACCAGCCTGGGGGTCTTCAGCAGGTTCTGTTCAGACTATGAATCTGCATCCTCCTGTTCAAAAAAGCCCAGTGCAAAAAACTCCAAAGAACTACTGTAGTCCAATTAGCAGGAAGTCAGAAGTGAGGTCTCCGCTTGCGACCTGTGTATTTTGTGTCCATTCGCACATTCCTGCAGATGAACCATGAAAGAACAAAAAAATAAAAGTGGGCAAAGTGCAGAAAGTAGGAAGCAGCCATAAAAGGATTTTTGCAAAACTCATTAGAATGCTTGGGGGAGCGGGGGAGCCATGTTCACAACTTTCAGTAAGTGGCAATATCCTTAACATTTTTTGGGAAAGGCAAGAGGCACAATGGGCATGGAAAGTGTCTGGGGCTGTGTCACACATATAAGTGGGAGCCAGTATTTTCTCCCTTCTATATTTAAGTAGCTTAAACCTAATTTAGTAGGATAGTATATGCTCTATCCTTTTGGCATGATGTAACTGGGTCATGGGGTGGGTTGGTGCACCATATGAACTACTTATTGGAGGTTTAATTGTCCCGCTTCTGTCCCATGATCAAGACAACGTCCTAGAGAGGCATTGTGAAAATGAGGCCTCTGGGCATTCCACCTCTGTGCCCATTCCGGTTTTCATGAGGGAAGCGGAGATGGCCACCAATCATGGCTGCAATGGCATTGGTCCTGATCATGCCCCAACAGATTCTCAGCCTTTTGGCTAAGATCAAGTGCAGTATTGCACGTAGGTTGTGTTTTATTTTTTGACGTGGCAAAAAAGATACCTGGAAGGGGGAAGGGAAGTGCTAATCTACTTTGCAGTAGCAGCTGCTTTTTCCAACAAACTGCAAAAGCATCCACAGGAAGTTTGACTGAGCCACCTGCTATTAGATGTTGCCAGCACATTTGACTGCAAAAGGGATTGTGGGGTCAGCCATGTCATGCAAACACAGCTTTCATATTTCTTTCCTGCCTAAAATGATAGAAAACCATGCCAACAATTCTCAGCAATTTTAGTTGGAGGGATCTGCCAAGGCTCCAAAAAAGACTCTGTTGGGGCCATATGTTGCCCTGAGGCCTAATCTATGGGACATAAAGAACCTTGGTCTGAAGGAAGATGCAGAGGTCAGACTTACTTGCCCTGCCGCCGCCTCCGTTCTTTCTTCTCCAATACCCAGTCCCTACTCTTCTTCACTGACTTCCCTTTGGCGTTTCTAAACCGGATTCTTGAGAAAAAGAATGAAATCAGAAATATTATCAGTTGCCACTTTAGTTCAATGCCAAGCGGCCTCAAGAAAACAGCAAAACAAAACATAGAATAGAGCAAACAAAACAATACAAAAAATTATCACTTTTTCAAAGGTCCTTTAACGGCTTTCAAAAGGCCAACAGGTAGAATGTACAAATTACTGAAGAAAGTCTTCCTATTTCAATTGGGGCTGCAACTGAGAAGGTCCCACCTTTGAAGGAGGCTCATCTAGTCTCCTCATAAGGTGAAAATCAGAATAAAGACTCAGGGTGGTCGATACAGGAAAAGGTAATTCTCCTGATATGACTAGGATTAAAAAAAAAAAAAAAACTTTGAGGATGGAAATGAATTAATAGCACAGGAACTTGTTGTATATTATCATAGTCTAAAATACCTGTATAACAAATGGCAAAGCTAACCCATCCTTACTCAGGAAGGATGTTGGATTTCATCTCCCTAACTCCCAGCCAGAATTGGGAAAAAACTAGGCTAGGCTATGCATCCAGTAATTTATATTGGCCAAATCAGGGCATTTCCGTTAGTAGCATGTCAGAGGCAGGAAAACATGGCAATTGAGCTGTTGATTACCACGACAATGATCCTCTGGCTATTACTGTTTGTCTCTTCCTCAAGCTGTGAAGAGGGTGAGTGTAACCTCACACTGCTTTAGGGAGGAGGAGACATTGCTGACGTGCCTATAGAGCCCACACAGACTTGCCACCGTAGAAGATACTCAGCTTCAAGCAGCACTTGCTTTAGACAACTTGCTTATAGGCTCTTGCTCCTCCCAGTACCCTAAATGGCAAACCACTCTTGTTCTTATGTTACAGTTCGGGGTCTGAGGCCAAGAACAACTCAGTCTGAACCACCCTGAACCCAATGGCCTCCCACCTTCCAGTTCTGGCCTTGGTACCTTTCATTGGTGAATGTGGCCTGTGTTGTCTCTTCTTCATTGCACTCTGTGCCGAGACCCTGCCAAAGCCACAAAACAAAACAATCCATATGAATTTAGTTGAAGGAGAAACACCAGCCAAGAAAAACGTGACAAGAAGTCAGGGAGTGTCAGCCTTACGAGGTAGTTCAGACAAGAAGCACACCCAGAAGTACTAGCTCTAACTTTACTGTAAGGTTATATTAACAGAATCTTGCAACTCTGAAAGTACATCTCTCCCCCCTTGCTTTTACAGTCCAAGAAACTAAAGATGATCCCTTCTGAGACGTTTGCCATGCCCACATTCCTTCTGCAGACTCAGCTGCTGGTTGTCTGACCACTGTCTAGTCTGTGGCTCTTCCACCTGTCTCCTGAAGTTGTTCCCACATACTATTACAGGGAGGTACAATTAGAGGGTCCAGGCAATGGACTTAAAAGCCACTGACCATCTTAGTTGGGAGGCTCAGTGACCATGCTTAGCAGAGATCAGATGTTACTTAAATGTTTTAACCTCATGTCACTCTGCAGCCGTATCTCTTAGCAAACAAAATACTCTAGTTTGACATGAATTGAAAGCATGTCTTTCAAAAAACCAGAGCTTGGAAATGAGGAAGGCACTAGAAGAAAGGATTTCAACAATTAACTGTCATCTACCAAGAATCTTTCTTTGTCCTTCCATTGTGGAAAAGAAGCGCTCTAGATTAAAGCACTATTGTCCAGCAGTTCAACTTTCCCCTCAATTTTGTTACCTTTGGTAATACATCAGTTATGCCAGCAAAGAGACAGAGAAAGAACCTGTAAAAAGAAAGAGATAACTAGAGTATCAAACACAACATGGGGAGGGGGGAGCTTTTTAAATAGTACCTCAAAGGTCAAAGAAGCTATACTACTTAAAGATGGCCTGTTGGTACCACCTACTCCAGTACTGGCTCCAGAAGAGAGGGCCTTTTCTGCTACCCAAAATATCTGAATAGGGATCCAATACCAAACAGTGGTCCCTCCTTATCGAATTATTTTCTGAATGAAATGCCAGGAAAAAAGAAACATGAACTTATTTCACAGAACTGAGCAGCCCTGCAGAACTGGATGAGATGACTTGGGATGTTCTTTGTCCTTAAATTTCATGCAGGAACTGAGAAGATCTGAATATGTCTGCCATGTTAGACTGAAGGATTTATCATGCAAGGCTCTCAAGAAGAGTCCTTATCTGACTGTACCCAACATATTAAACCATAATATTGTTTGTTATGATTTAATTTTTACACAAAGTAGTCAATTATGATACGTTCAATAAGCTGAAGCTATGCGTGCACTGAGCTATTTGCAGAGATTTGTATCATTCTTGATCTACAAACTTCACACAGTGTGGATTGTTGAGCATCCCCATATCCCCAGAACTTGAAGTCCCACCCCCTCCCAGAAAGACTTACTTTTTGGCTTTGGCACTATTGGGGTAGTCTACCACCATGCCACCAGTGAAACCCGCCTTCATGGCTTGGGTGGTGATGAGCTCCAGCTGCCAGGAGAGAAAGAACCTCAATGTCCGCTTCCTAGCAATACAGACCTGCCTCGTGGGGTGGGGTGGGGCTGGGCTCCTCTTCCAATAGTATTTCCTATATTCTCTACACCCTCCCCTACTCTTACAAGGAATGTGCCTTTTTTTTTTCCTACTGAACTTCTACTGTGGATTAGGGCAGGGGTTGGCAAACTTTTCTGTAAAAGGCCAGATGCTGCCCTTCCCTCTGCCTTTGTGCGTGCGGCTGGCAGATCTGCAAGCCAAGGAGTGTGTCAGCATTGGAAGGCACCAGCCCATCAGCAAGGAGGCTGCGGACCGGCTGCTGCTGCCAAGGACACCCTGCTCCTAGCCCTACACCTTGCCCTGGGAGCTCAACTGTGGCTTGGGCTTGGTAATCTGCTGCCTGCTCACCCACACACCTACTCACTTTGCGGGATGCATAAAAAAAAAGGGCAACAGGCCATATTTGGCCAACAGGCTATAGTTTGCCAACCCCTGGATTAGGGGAATCACAAACTCAGTTAGCACTACAGACAGCCCATATGAAGAAACGCTCACTTTAATAACTAAATGCAAGCCATTTTAAAGCTAAACACAAAAGGAAATTCTTCCCTTCCTCTTTTCCTCTCCTTCCCTGAATTTCCTATGCCATTTATGAGTGTTGTCAGAATAGGATTTAGTTTGCTTTTCCCCAGAGAATATGAGAGCCTTCCTGCTCTCTAAAACCAAAGAAGAAAATAAAAATAAAAATGGGGCATGGCTTTCCCATGTCTCTCCAAATGCCTTCTGCCTCTTATAAGGCAGAAGCTGGCATTTGCAGGCTATATACAGCATATACAATAAAAAGGTGTGAACAGTGTGAAACCATGTGAATTTTCCTAAGTGATTCCTGCAGAAGTACTGAAAATGTTGAGTTGCCTCAACATGCCTTGTTTGATTAAGCAACCAAGATCAACTCTTGCTGACCTACCCAATACCCACACAACCTCCTAAATAAGGGTACCTCCTTCTGCATGCCTTCCTACTCAGTAGGTTCTCCCCCTAGCCCCAAGGCACCAACCTGCTGAGAGTTTTCTGGGTATAACTGTAGAACAGCACGGGCTCCTCGGGCCTAGAAGATAAAATATCAGCTACATGGGATCTTGCAATCTGGCCATGATCTTACTTATGAGAAATAAATATTGATGCGGCCTTTGCCAGAGATAGGCAGTGGTTAATCCAGCCTGATATCTGCTTTGACTGGCAGTGGAACTAATTTTTCCCAGCTCCGCTATCCAAGATCATGATTTACTGCAAATCCTGGGATCTTCTTCATGCCAAGTTTACTCCATACCAAGCTATGGCAGAGTGGGGTTTCCCTACTCTCACCCTTAAAACTTTTTCATTCAGCTGTAGCTAAGCAGCAGTGGTGGAGGAGCATAACTTCCCTGTATATTGCAGAAGCTCTAGCCTCTGAACATTCTTTGCTAGGGAAGGCTAACCATTAGAAAAGTTGGAATTCCCATTTGACTTCCAGCTCTATCTTACTGCTCTGAACTCAGCAAGCGAAAGGGGTAAAAGAGAACTGCCTGCTTCATCATTTTTCAAGTCATTGCACATGTTCCTGAGATTATGTTGCTCCACCTCTCTCTCTCTTACTTTCCTCCTCTTTTTCTTCCTGACTCATACCTTACATACAAACTTGTTGTCGAGCTGTAAAATACACAAATAGCATCTCTTACCTTCCTTAATCAGAAAGTATAAAAATGGGGGGGAGGGGGATGTAAATAACAGAAAAACTAATCTTCACCAGAGCAGTATAGAGAGTTGAGAAGAACCGATATAGTCGCTTTGGAGGGCTGTGAGTCTTCTTATCAGCATTACAGAGCCACTGAACTGCAGAAATACTGGAAGAAAATAATTCAGGGCAGTGATTCTGGTATTTTCATTATCTTGTAGTCACTGATTATTGGTAATGCCTGTTACAAATTCTTACCTGATACAGCCATCAAATGTTCCAGGTCGGAAGGGAATTCCCTGGCCCATATCTGCTAGCATCAGGTCTCCCTCCACTTCTCTCTCCACGGCTACATCTAGTTAGAATAAAGAAAGGAGGACACTACCATTTCAAGTCCCAGACATGAAAGTTTAGCCTAAGGGGAGAGAAAAAAAAAAAGAGATCTACTCACCAAGCATTGCAGGACTGATGTCCATGCCAACCCAACAGTGCCCTTCCTCAGAGATATAATCACCACTTAAACCAGAGCCACAGCTGATAGGAAAAACACAGTTAGGATGAATAAACAGCTGTTCTCTTTTTCTGATCACCAACCACATAGGATGAAGAATCAAGAAATGTTAAACTGCATGGAAATAAACTGTGTTACTTGAAAACATCTGCTGAGTTTTTTGGATCACAAAGTAAAGCTATCCCAAAGACACTTGGCAAGAAATTATTGAAAATAAAGCAGAAGTATTGAACTGAATGCGGAGTGCATCTATTTTAAAATGGAGATATAGTTAATGGGACAGGGGAGGAACTACTTTAGTACTTCAAGAATTTACAACTGTCTGAAAGGTGATTTGCAGACACACCCATTATAATTCTACTGATCACAAATGTTGAATCAGGTAATATCAGCAACCTATTTCACTGATTCCTTTTTCCAAAAGTTGCCAATTTCAGCACATAAGATGCCACTACAGGCAAGGCAGAAACTTTAATTTGGTTCTTGATACCACACTGTCCTGATATTCTAATACTCAATTTGCATACTTGTTTCCATCTCGAGGGACATCGGACACCATTTATTGCATGAAGAACTGGAGCTAAATGGCACAGCACACAGTTTGCTTTGGGGGAGGGGCAACCCAACACTCCACATCTCTACTTTTAAAAACGGAGAAAAGAGAGAGTCTCAGATTGGTGGAAAGAGGAACGCCATCATTCAACTACCTTCAGCCTGGAAGAGCTGGTTCCAGTGGAACCTAACAATGGACTTAATGGGCCACGATTCAACACTGAGCATTTAAGGGTAACTGCTGCTCTCCTAAGGGCTTTTCATATATAGCCAGACAAGCTCAAAAGTGATTTGTAAAATTTGGATACTAAAGGAAGTTGTGGACCTTATATTGTTTGGGTGAGCTGTGCAAACGTGGTACAGGTAGTCCTTGCTTAATGATCACAATAGGGACTGGAAAATTCGTTGTTAAGCAGGGTGGTCATTAAGCGAAGCATCATGTGACTGCACCTGATTTTATGACCTTTTTTGCAGTGGTTGCTAAGCGAATCACTGTGGTTATTAAGTGAATCATGTGGTCGTTAAGCAAATCACACGCTTTCCCATTAATTTTGCTTGCTAGAAGCCAGCTGGGAAGGTCGCAAATTGCAATCACGTGACCCCAGGATGCTGCAACCATCATAAGTGCGAGCTGGTTGCCAAGCATCTGGACCACAATCATGTGACCACGGGGGGGCTGCAATAGTCATAAGTGTGATGGGCGGCTGTAAGTAATTTTTTTCAGTGCCATCATAACTTTGGACAGTTGCTAAATGAATGGTTGTTAAGCAAGGACTACCGGAAATAAATTTGAAAACCCACTCCCATTCTGGTAGATCAGTCCCTTAAGAGCAATACAACAAATTTACCCAACATCCAGCAAAAAACATGGACGATCATCTGGGAGACCCAGCAATTCCACAGCCCGTTCAGACATCTGAGACTGAATCTCAATCATTCGAGAGCTAGGGGGTGAAAATTGAATACACAACAGCTATCAAGAAACAAATACACAGCATAGTATTCCACTTGAATGCTTACAGGAAAACTTAAGCTTCTTTTTATCTCATTCTTAAAGTTGCAAGAAGATGCTTATACACAAACAATAAGCAATCTATTCCAACTACCCAGGAGAAGGAATGGCATGTTAAGAAAGGCAAGGTGGTCAATCTCTTCCCTTTCAGTTTTCTCCCACAGAGAACAGGGACAAATAGAGGCTGCTAACAACCATGATGAGGCTAAATAAGTTTCTCTCCATGTGATGCCAGATTGGCAATTTCGTTAGTGTTTTTCCAACACTCACAATATATTTAGCATCACTCACTCCTTTTAGGGAGCCATTCCATCCCCACCAACCCATTCAAGAGTCTTTCATGATGGCACTTCTAATTCCATTGTGCAAAAAAGCCCTATTTCCCTTAACACACTGACACCGACTCTGTTGCTGCAGCCATCTGTGGCAAGGGAAACTCATCTGATTACCTTCTTTGTAATCTTCTGATACTGTTTTAGCCTATTTTTATCTATGTTTCAGTAAAAAAGAGAAAAACAATTTTTTGAGAGTATGCCTTAAGTACAATATATCTAAGTCCCAGGAGACACAGACCTCAGAAAAACTTGACAATGTATTTCAAAAACTCTAAATGTGTTTGGTATCTATTAGGCTAAGGGCTTAAATAAAATGAAGTCATATTAACATACTGTTTAATATACAGCAGTAGCTTATGCATTATATACATTAAATATGACATACTGTGGTAACCCAATGGATTTTATTCTGAATTAGCTATTTGGATATTTTAACTGATGCATCATGAATGGTGCACTATGAGAATGCTATGTTTAAGTTTTAAAAACATAAATTATATAAATAAGCTTCTCACAGCCCAAGATTGCCTTACTTATGTGTGTATTTCCGAGCTTCAGATTCATCATAGAACTGGGGGGGGAAAGAAATGAGAAATGAATTAAAAGGAAAACACAAGAAAAGTTTTGCTGGATCCATTCAAAAGTCTATCATCCTTCCTCTGCAAAGGTCATTAGCAAGGGATGAAAGCAATTCATCTGTTAGATACTGTCTTGTATATAACACAGTTTTCCTTTCACCCCTAGTTATCCTTCTCACCCCAATCTTTTTTTTTTCCTTCCAATAATACAGTTTAACATGGACAAGAATTATTTTCTTACTGCTCCTATAGAACAATTGCAATTTCACTTTAAATCATCAAGAGATCATAAACAGACCCTGTGCTATTTTTCCTCCCCCTACTGACTACCTAGTGCATTACAGTTGCCAGCCAGATGCTTCCTTGAGACTCATAAGAGCACCAATAGCCCTGTTTGTTTCTAGAACCAGGAGCTGGAAAACCAGAATGCTTCCAAAAATTGAGATTCTATTTAGCTATTACAAATAATATCCAAGGAAAGGTTGTTCCTTCAACATAAATGTATTTTGTCCCCCCAAAATGGCAATGCATTTCAGAACCTACATAGATGAAAGGCTGGACCTGTATCCAAAGTCAAAACAAGATGGAAATAAGGAATAACAGTATAAGAAGAACTTGACTGGATCCACTTTATTTCATCCTCCTCCTTTCTGTGGTGACCAACCAGAAGTCAAGGAAACAATACCACAGGGCAGGAAACAAAGTGTTCCTTCCCCCTCATTCTTCATCAACCTGGAACTATGAAGTAGCTTGAATATACAGACTCCATTCTTCATTACCAGATAATTAATCATAAGAGCCATCCTACAGGATCGCACTGAAGGCCAGAATGGCGCAAAAACTGGGACAGAATGAAACAATCCACTTTATTTCAGTGTTTTGGGATTTAATGCCAAACCATTTACTGGTTTCGTGGACCAAGAAGGTACCATTTCAGGCTGTTTCTACTGACTGAAACAAGAGCAAAACAAGGAATGTAATATGTCTGATTACATTACTTTCCAAAGGTGTATGACTGATGAATGTGCTTAACTTCATTCATTCATAAACGGACCTTCTGGACTGCGATTCGGCTATTTCAGATCGCTTCCAAAGTATAACACTGGAAGAATTACCATTCTTAATGGTTATTCTCGAATCTCTCACACTTGTTCTGGTATCCAGGTCGTATTTCAGTTTTTATCGCATCAATGAATACGATATTTTGTTTTTCAAAGTCGCCAAGGAGCATCCAGGGAGCAAATCAGCAGTGTTCCAAACAGAACGGGAAATGTAAGAGATAGACTGCCCTTGTGCATTAAGGTTCTATTGGTTAGCCCCGAAGGCTGACGAACACGAGCATTTCCACCTCCCCTATGAAAGAGTGCGCTCCCCCCCCCCCCCCCCCATCACAAGACTTATTCCCTTTCTTACCAGCTCAGGGGGTCCGCGATGCTCAGGCCTCTTTCCGCAGGCTGCCATGCTGCTTACCTTCGTACGTCACTCTTACGCGACCCCAATCCTATCATAGAGCTAGAAAAATGAAGATAAGATCAACCCGCCCTGGTCAGAGATATTCGAGTTCTAACTTAATACGAGTGAGTAGCAGTCTCTCCATTCTGCAAGACATAATTACCACTTTACTACTTCTCAGAGTCAGTTTGAGTCTGTCTGTGTCTAAATCGAACAAATATAATAGTTTAAATAAGTTTGACTTCGTTGAGAGTTCAAAGTTCACTATTAACTTCACTATTTGTGGTTCTTTCCGTAATATATATCTACCTGCCAAAACAGACGCGCACGCGTCTGAAGTGACGCGCGGGTGGGGCGCGCACGTGACGGAAGAGACACCAATAGCCGCTACCGCCTGCAGCGGGCGCGCCCCGGCTGAGCTCGGCCCCGCCTCCGCTGAGGTGGCTGAGCGGAGCGGGGGGAGGCCGCCGCCGGAGGAGGATGGGTGAGGCAAGTGCGTCCGCGGCTCTGGTGGGCCTCTCGCTGGTCCTCGGCGCCGTAGTTTTGTGGGGGTTACTGTTCTTTCTGAGGCAGTGGAAGAAGGCTGCGCCGAGCAAGGAGGACGTGGCAAAACTGAGCGGGACTCGCGACGGTAAGAAGGGGATGAAGCTGACTCCGAAGCCGCGCCGCCAGCTTTCTGCGGGGCGGGGTTTGCAGCCACGTTTCTTTCTTGCGCAAGAAATGAGCCGTGCCGGCTCTGGTTTAAAATTTGCTTTATAATGTGCTGTGTATTATTGTTTCCATTGCCAGTGTTAGCACGGTGTTGTGATTAGAAGTAGATTACAAAAGCATTTCTAACTGACAAGCAGGGCGTTGGACCAGTCTAATACTTGAAGGATTCGTCTGTGAGTGAGAAACTTGGTTTCACGTCTTAATCAGAAGTACATTCAGCAGCCTCGGGCCAGTCAGTTTCACTGCAGTGAATGCAGGAGTTGGCCTCGGCAGAAGGGCAAAGGGGGGAAGTGATGCAAAGAGCCCACTTGAAGTATTGCATCAGATGTCAGGGTTGAAATATATAAGGGTGGAGCTTGCATCACGTTGCTGTGCCATCACATTGAAGTAATTTCAGTTTGCTTAGGACTTGTAAAAGGAAATTTCATCAAAGAGAGTCAGGCAAGCTGGTGTTGGCTTTCTGGACTTCCAAGCAGGGGTCTAATCTAGACCTACGTGTTGGGAATTGAATCTGGAATATTGTTTATAGAAAACTCATCTCCTACCTCAGAGCTACAGTCAGTGGCTGCCTTCACACCATGTGCTTAACTAGGAAGATTTGAAGAATTTTTTGCCCAACATACTAAGTTCATGTGGTCTTTTCTTTTCTTTGGTGACTTAGTATGTTGTTGAAATGCAGCTTGTTTGGTTAGTTTATGGTTCAGTGTATTGTGCAGATCAGACAGTGGGTAATTTAGTTATCAGATTAAGGAGATTGTGGGAATGCAGCCACTGAGTTTTGATAATAAAATGGGAGAAGAATAAAACCTCTGCCATTTTGAGCCCATTGGAAGATAGCTACAAAAATTTCTTAAATAACAAGTAACTATGTACTCTTACATGCACTGCTGCTATTGAGAGAATTACAGGGGTTTTTATGTCTCCTTAAAAAAATAACGAAGCAAAGTATTATCCCTGAAAGTTTACATGATAAAAAATTGTTAATTTTTAAGGCACTATGAGACTTTATACAAAAGGCTAATGTGTCTGGAATTTTTTTTGTAAGATTATTTAGAGGTTTTCATATCACATTTCCCTAGTCTCTCTCTTAGCCTTTATGCTACAAAGACATTAGTGATTTTTTTAATATAATGGGTATTTTTATGTTATAATCTAAATAAAATAAGGACACATAAACACTGTAATTATTGATATAGAAATAATTTCACTTTAAAGCCTGGGCTGTAGATTACAAAGCATTCTGCTGCAAGCCATTTATGCTTATTTATTGCTATGTTGAGTTGATAATTAAAAAGATGCTATTGGTGATTCAGCCAACAGTTAAAACCAATCGGATTTGTTAAAAATATTTTCTTCAACTTTATTCCTTAGATCAAAACGTGAATGGTGATGCAATCAGCAAAACAGCAGGCCTGAAAAAGTCAAAGCAGCAGCGAATTCGAAAAGAGAAGCCCCAGCAGCACACTTTCACACACCCACTCCTGGCTTCAGCCCTCAAGGTGAGCTCTGGTGGGTAACAGATTCTTACATGTTATTTCACCTTTTGTTTACTTGAACTGATCATATAGGTGTCTGCCACCTGGCCTACTTTTATTCTCTGCTGTAGTAGAGATGACTAAAAGTGCAGTAATAGTTGGAAGTTTAAAGATGGAGTCAGAAATAACTGAACATCTCTATCATCTCTTAATTATCTCTGAAAACTTGGGAAACCAGAATTTGTAACTGTACTATTCAGTGGTAACACTGAACATTTCTGGAAAAATTCAGGCAAATAGTTGCTCTGAAAAACGATTGGATTCACATCCTATATCTTTCATTTTGTAGAACCTGCCTCCTTCGCACCCTATACCCCCCCGATGCAAATTCTTTGAAATTCATTTAGGGTGGTCCTCGCTTAATGACCATTCATTTAACGACAGTTCAAAGTTACAGTGGCCTTGGAAAAAGTGCTTTACAACCTGTACTCGCACTTAACGACCATTGCAAACATCACACCACTCCTGCGGTCACGTGATCGCAATTTGTGAGCCTTTTTACAATGGTCGTTAAGCAAATTACATGGTATTTAAGTGAATTCCAGCAAAAATCCATTGGAGAATGCCAGAGACCATGTGATTCGCTTAATGGCCACTGCGATTCACTTAACAACTGTCATAAAAATGGTTGTAATATCGGGTCTGGTCACATAACTCACTTAATGACCACCCCACTTAATGACCAATTTTCTAGTCCCTGTTGTGGTCATTAAGTGAGGACTACCTGTATCTGGTTTTCATTTTGAAATCCTGGGCTTGTGTGCAGAAATTAATAGCTTCATGATATGAAAAAGCAGAGCCCATCCTGCCTACAGCTTTACCATTGTATCTTCCTGTTGAACTTATAAGCATTTTGCTTCAGTTGATTATCTCTACTTGTTCAAGGAGGTAAGTGGGAATCCCGCTGGTTACTGGATGAATCATAGCAATCCTCCTGGTTTTGTTAAAACATGGATAACAGAAGAAAGCAAATAGTGTTGAGATTAAAATGCTCTAAGTTTTCTTTTCCAATCTCACCAAGTGTATCCCGACTTCAAAACAATTTGGTTTGATCTCCATTTCACAGTTGAAATGGCTTGTTTGTTTCGAGGTTGGAATGTTTCTGCTAAAATTGGAAAAGGATGTTTAAGGGTCATCATGTTTCAGCTTCCTTGACTGGATATTTATACTCTTCTTTCTTATACCCACAATGTTCAAATAAATCCTTTTTTAGAATTCTGAACTGCTTTTTGCTCCTTAGATAACAGATCTCCACTATAAAAGACACGTCAATTTATTTCTATTTTTGAAAGGCCAAGGGCAATTCTCTTTGTATTCTGCAGGGCCACAGTGGAAGCGTCTCCTGCCTGGACTTCAGCAGTAATGGGAAGTATTTGGCATCCTGCTCTGATGACCGTACAGTGCGCATCTGGAGCACCAAAGACCTTTTGGAGAGGGAGCATCGCTGCATGCGGGTTAATGTGGAATTGGACCATGCTACCTTAGTCCGCTTCTTCCCAGACTCCAGGTAGGATGGAGGGTATGGATAATAGCCTCTGCATCTCCTCCTCTTCTTTCTCTACATTTATTTCTTTGCCTGCTTACCTGCCCAAATCCTTGAAGGAGCATGGGCAGTGTGTATAATCAAAACAAAGAAGAAAGAATATAATGAAAATTAAACTGAAAAACAAAGTCAGAGCCAAGATAAATGCCCATAATCAGTCAGCTGAAAAAGGGAAACAGTCAGCCTCTGTAGGAAGAGAATTGCTAGGAGGACAGGCTGACCTGAGGAGTTGTTTCAATCACACAGTGGAGTAGAAGGGCTTGTGCATTTTGTCCTGGTTGCTGTGATTCATTACAGCAGAAAAGCAAGCAGAGTGGCAGTAAGAAGTGAAGAGGCAGAACCCCAGAGAGTTAGTCAGAAGTTTGCCTATCATTTTTCAACTTAATGTTAACACTGAAGTTCTATTTGCAGTGTGGAACGAAGATACTCTCATTTCCTAACCACCCATAACCAGTTTTTCTGTGTAGCAAACATGGAAGCATTTTCACATGTTTCACAAACCATTGTGAGCTGATGTTATATGACTGCCAAGCAGAGCAGCAGCTTCCTTGCGTTCATTGTGTTGCTCACATGCCTTTCCTTCGTTCACTCAGAGCGTTCATTGTCTGGTTGGCAAATGGTGACACCCTCAGAGTCTTTAAAATGGCAAAGAAAGAGGATGGCACGTTTACATACGTGGCAGTCCCAGAAGAATTTTCGAAGCAGCACAAGGCTCCTATCATCAATATTGGAGTTGCTGATACAGGTATGAAAGCTGAGCTTTTGAACAGCCCAGCTTACAACTGCAAGGAATGATTCTGCTTCATTTCCTTGAAAACAAATTAATTTGGTTGGCTTCCTGAGTATATGCAGCTACATCAGCCTGTCAGAATGATACCCTTATCTTTACCCCTTATGCCCCAGGGAAGTATATCATGAGTGCCTCCAGTGACACCACCATCCTGATCTGGGACATGAAGGGGGAAGTCCTGGCTAGCATCAACACCAACCAGATGAACAACACCTTTGCAGCTGTGTCACCATGTGGGAGGTAAGGAAGGGCAGTCACTTGTTTATGGTCCCTTCTGTTATGCCAGAAGGATAGAGATATCTTCTTATTTTTGCTGTAAGTAATGAAGTGTAGAGAAGCTGCAGCTTACAATTCATTTGGGCGTTTCCTTTCCTATAGGTTTGTTGGTTCATGTGGCTTCACTCCTGACGTAAAGGTGTGGGAGGTGTGTTTCACCAAGAGTGGAGATTTCCGGGAAGTAACCAGGGCCTTTGAGCT